AAGGGTCAGATGTGATGAAATAAGTTCACTTACAACTGTTGGTATACTTTTAAGTGGAAAATGCTGCTCTAGGCAACACAAAGTCTCTGATAAGTAAATATTATATATATATATATATATATATATATATATATATATATGTCATCGCACCTCGCTCCGATATCATGAGTGGGGTGCGATGACTCAGTAGGCTAATTCCCAATAGGAACTGTTACATGTCTGTTACTTTATCGGCAAAAACAAATGGCATGACTTTTGCCAGCGTACTCTGTTCAGTCGTGCTGCGCTCCTTTCCGTTTACCGTCCGAGGTAGAGCATTCTGTCACCACGAATTTTAGGTAGCAGTTCATCTGCAGGTACGACCTGGATCAGGTGTGTTCCAATCCATCTGCAGGTCGACCTGGATCAGGTGTGTTCTAATGGAGCCGCGAAGCAGGACTGCGTTCTGGGAAGAGCGCAATGGAAAGGCCATTATCTCCCAAAATGCACTGGCTTTCCCGGTAGTGAACATTTCTCTGAATGTCCTTGCGTGGTATGAAGTGACCTCTTTCCACCTTACAAAGACCCTATTCCCGACAGCTTCCTCTGCAGCGGATCACCTCAGCTGTGGCTTCTGTCACTGTTAGCCTAAATGTGGATCGCTGAACTGGCTCCAATTTTCGGAGCGGTGTCTGCTACAAACCCATTATTCTCAACTTCCTGCGAGGGCTCAGTTTTTCACCAGGCATGGTTGTACGCAGAGTTCTTTCCACGGGTCTCTCTCCTCATAATTAGGACATCTATTTTATCAGCGAGACTTGCTGCGGTTTTGTCGACCCACGAAGTGCATTTATTCAGTTGATTTTGCGGCCTGACTGTTGACGACTCCAATGAAAATCAGCTTGCGTTTTAACAATAATACGCTGTTTGAAACATTCCAACGCTTCGAAAACGTACCGGGCCAGGCCGCGGCTCACGAGATCCAACACTGGCCACCACCAAGGACGGATCCAGAGATGAAAGGGTCTTTCCTTCTCCCCCCCCCCCCTCAAAGATCGCAAAATTATGATTTGGCCCCCAAAAAACGGCTGGACGTGTGCTGTTATGTGTATGCACCGTCATGATTCCAAAACCAGTTGCGCAACTGTCTCGTTTTGCCACTGCTGGAGCAGTGAACTGTGTCAACAGTTAACGTTGTGCATACATACGTCTGTGTCAGCATCTGTGCATACCCGCAGCTTATGATGGCTGCGGTTCTAACATGGTAGTTCATTTGGTGGCGAATGGTTAATCCGTTATCACAATGACATTTCGAGAAGTGACTTAAATCGCTATTCCGTAGACTTAGTCTTCAGTGACCCGTTTACCTCATCATCGCGCTGAGTCTATATATATATATATATATATATATATATATATATATATATATATGTATGTATGTATGTATATATATGTGTATATATATATATATATATATATATATATATATATATATATATATATATATGTATGTATGTATATATGTATGTGTATATATATATATATATATATATATATATATGTATGTATGTATATATATGTGTGTATATATATATATATATATATATATATATATATATATATATATATATATAGCTCATATAGTCGTCGCTCTTTATATTCTAAAGTTTCGAGATCATGTCTCATCGTCCGAGAAGACCGAATGGCACAAAAAATAAGTTTTGAGTTTTGGTGGCAATGAAATGGCATCTGCCCATAAACAAGACGCAAAACCTTTACGGAAAATTTTCTCTCGATACGTTAAAGATAAAAACGACCACAAAATAGACATCGTCACTAAGAAAATCTCCAACTTTCTTATGAGAAACAGCCCAGACAAACCCGACAAACTAAAATGCACCAGTGTAGTGTATCAATTCAAATGCGACATCGAAGGCTGCAAACGTCGTTCCATACACTACATTGGTGTGAGCACGACACTCTCACGACGCCTGACAATGCACTTACATGACGGGTCACCTCTGGACACATGTGACGCGAACACGACAGGACATTGACACGACAACAACTGACAGACAACACTGGCATTTTACGGACGTGCAATGGCAGAAGATGCCTTCAAATTTGGGAAAGTATGTTCATTAACGAACTCTCTCCAGCCCTAAACAAATTCTTGCACAGCTCTTGAACTATTTGGTGGCGAGCGGTGAGCACTACTGATGTGATTATGACAATAATGTTCTCATTGTGCTTGTGGTTTTCCCATTATGGGTGTATTTTAGATCTATCAAAGTGAAAATAGGATTCTGTCTTACTTCAATTAGTCATGCTTCATTTCTGTTCTCCGTACCAAAAGATGTTTGTGAATAGCAAAGCACAATTCTTATCCCGTGAAACTGAAAACTAATTTCTATGCCATTCAGTCTTCTCCGACGATGGGGTAGGATCCCGAAACGTTAGAATGTATATATATATATATATATATATATATATATATACATATAAACGTTAGAATGCATATATATATATATATATATATATATATATATATAACATATGTCTGCGTGTGGGTGCGAGAGCCACTAGGTGTTTCAAATGACATTCTGCAGTTTCCCCCCCCCCCCCCGCCCCCAAAAGCCTAGATCCGCCCCTGGTCACCACCCGCCAGCAGCTTTGTGGCAGTTATCGGGCCTTTCGAATCGATTCGCTAATCGCCAGCAAGCTTACGGCCGCAGCCACACAAATGACTATAAGTCGTTACAATCGTGCGATCCGCTTCGGATATTTGTTCTAATACACGAGAGGACATTGTGTCATCAGCACCACACGTTCGAAATGCCACAGCTTTGCCGGGTTCGGCTTTCGAATATAGATTTAAGCAGCTTGAAGTTCCCGTCGTGTTTTGTGCGAACAGCCGCACTGTTAAATTCTTTTGTGTTGAAGGATCTCGTCTCGCGCCCTCATTGCAGACCACAGCAAATATGGGTTTTTTTGGCATTTTCTGGCCGTTTTAAAGTGTCTGACATCGTGATCTCATCTCAGAACTATAGTTACCGCTGGGATAGTTCCGCGTGCGACCGTGCTGGTCATAAAAAGGTTTGTGCTCTGTTCCACTGACGCTTTCCGTGAAGATGATCACTCGGCTCAGATGCAGCGAAGAACCACGCAAGCTGCGATGAGGATAATACGCAGACAGGCATTATATATTGGTGGAAATGTAGATACATCTCTTGTCCAGGGTTGTGCATGTTGCTGCCCGTATAGGTCAAACAACCAAATTACGGGACTCGGGTTAAGATCGATGACCCAAAAACAAACGTCCGCCTTTTTCTCATCCATGGTGAGTGAGATTTCGCGCCATGACGCACCCTTATGTCAATGGGCACGAGTTTGCAAGTCAATCGACACTTCTGATATCTTCCGTCACTACAACTGACCATGGCGCGGCAATGTTGAATATGTGCCGATTGGCATGCATCGCCCTGCAATTCATTTAGCACCACCACAAACGTGAGTTGCCATCGGCGACAGCGCGCCGCGGATCAGGCCCGGCAGGACTTGAGGCGAACCCCCGGGCAGACTGCAAACCCAACCTGCTCACGGTCACGGCACGTTCGAAGCCGTCTACCCGATGCTGACGCATTGCCAGTGGACTTTTTCAGTTGCTCTCGTTCCAGCCGGCATTTAATGTAGTGTGCTAGACCGGCGCGCGTGTGGGCAACGGGGGATGGAACTGTCCACAAGACGTCCAGGTGCTGGAGGTCTTCGTGAGTCCGGACCCCACCTGATTTCTAGCAAATCAACGCCGGAGTTGTTTAAGCCTGTGGAGTGCACTTGACACCCCGAATGTTCGGAATGTTCAGACCCCTTCCCCCGCTGAGTGCACGTCATCCACATCAAACCCATTGATGGCCGTCACGCAACGCGTGCTTAAACAGTTGCAGCTTGTTTAGGTGGGTATTCATACGGCTGAAAGACGGTAAAGAAAGGCCGCGCGTATCGTAGGTAGGCCGCGTGAAAGGCTGGCAGTGGAGCGCAAATAGCCATTGTAGTTGACACGCCAGTAGCGAACAGAGCCTAGTAATACAATTTCGCCTAACATCTGGAGAAACGTAGCATTGAACATACCGGTGGCTTGAGGGACGCATTAATTGAATTCGCAAGCCTCCAGCGCGAGTGTCTACTGATGCCATGGCTGATGTGTTGCCCGCGGATCACAATCCAAGCAGGAAGTTCGCGCATTCCGCGTCATTAACAGGATATGGCACGGGTGATCAACCATTTGCTACCCACCCAACCAGCCGTCTTTTTCCACCAATGTGTGAAGAGTGGGCCGGTGTTCGGCCGTTACAAAAGCCAATCCTGGGGCAAGCCGTCCACCTGACCTGACTGTGAGCTCAACACCAACCGCTCGCACACCCCAACGTGCGTCAGCTGGCGACGCTGGCACCTCTGACCGGCGTGTACCGTCCGTCCCCAGGGCAGCGCGCCGGCGAGCCGCTCTCGTGCAAGTACTGCGGCGCCTCGTTCAGCGTGAACTGGCGACGGCGGCGTCACGAGAAGTCCATGCACGAGCTGCGCAACAACCTGCAGTGTAGCCACTGCCCACGGCTGTTCTCCCGCCTTGACAACCTGCGCGGTCACATGCAGCGCATGCACCGCGGGATGATGTGATGCCGGCCGGGCAGCCCGCCGACCCCGGTCCGGCCGTACCACTGCTGCCGACGTCGGTCCGGCCGTACCACTGCTGCAGACCGCGGTCCGGCCTTACCACTGCTGCCGACCACAGTCCGGCCGTACCACTGCTGCCGACGTCGGTCCGGCCGTATCACTGCTGCAGACCGCGGTCCGGCCGTACCACTGCTGCCGACGTCGGTCCGGCCGTACCACTGCTGCCGACCGCGGTCCGGCCGCACCACCGCTGTCGGTCGAGGGACCGGTAGACGGTGCCAGCCTGCTCCGTGGGTTACAGCGAGACGCGGATAGATCCGAGCTACTGCCTACCATACCGGCTGTCTGGGCTAGGCCATCAGCCCTTGTGGAGACAAGTGGGGCCAGACTGACGCGTACGGTCCCAGCGTGTGATCCCGGCGCGTACAGCTCGTTACGAGGTGGTCCCCTCATCTAACCGCGGGCGTGACGCGCGTCCTAACGGTCTACTAACTAACTAACATCCAGTCGGGCATCCTAACACTTGCTTGCTTTTGGGCTGAGGCTAAGAGGTTTCTGATTTATTTCAGCACCCTATCTTTTCCCAACGATTTGCAGACTTTGAGCCTGTCGCATTATGATGTCGCAAATGAGGTCGCAAATGAAGTGGTGTGTTGTGTGTGTATGACTGCTCCCCAACACGACACATATCTGAGTCGAACAACCGGCAACACGATATTTCGATGCAAAACAAATGTCAGCATGCATAATACCACGTGGTTACATCATAAATAGCACACCAGGCGCGTTCAGCATCCGCTTACACAGATATCACAACCGTCTGCTCTGTCGAAGCTGCCCCGTTCCGTCCACTGCTCCAGCACGTCCCGAAAGAACTCGCTGGGTTTGGAGAAGGGTTTGAGAGCGCTCAACGACTCGGTGAGATCGTGATCAACCCCGGGCACAGCATGCACTACACTGGCCGCCGCCCGTGCCGGCCCCAGCGACCCCTGCTGCAGTCTAGCCCTTCCCGCGGCGACCGCACAGCGCCGGCCGGCGCCGCCGGGGCCGTTCAGCCCCCAGTCCGGCGCCGCCTGAGCCTCGCTTCCCGCGCCGCTCTGCTCGCCCGGTCCGCGCGGGTCTGGCGGCCGGCGGGCGGCGGGCGCCGCGCGCCGCTGCAGGAGGCGCTGGTAGCGCTGGCAGGCGGCGCGCGGGTCGGCGCGGCCGGCCAGCAGCGGCGCCGCCTCGGCCGCCGACAGTCGGCCGGCGCCCGTCAGCAGCCGTTCCAGCGGCGCCGCGTCGAACCCGACGAACGGACAGCCGCCGCAGGAGGCCAGAGACTCGCCGGCGCGCTCCTACAAGCGGGGGGAGAGGGGTCAGAGGCGGCCGACCGGACGGCGGGTCAGACGGTGCCACGTGCACCGTCTGGCCACGTGAACACGGGTATATGAGGAGCACGACAGAAGCCGACGAGAGGGTACCATGAACTAGGAATCAAACGCCGAACGGATCAGAGAAACCATATTGCAAAAAGATCGCACACGCACGCACGCACGCACGCACGCGCGCACGCACGCACGCGCGCACGCACGCACGCACGCACGCACGCACACACACACACACATACACACACACACACACACACACACACACACACACACACACACACACACACACACACACACACACACACACACACACACACACACACACACACACCGCAGCTGCACAGTTCAATCAACACATGCCAGGTTACTAGCGTCCCCTAGAAAGGAGTATCATGAAATCCGCACCTCAACCTTCAATGGAGCTCAGTTTTACAGCGCACTCCACCATCCCAAGTCAACCAAGCGCCTCCCACCAGTGGTTGTTTCCATGCCGATCTTAAGACTCGATCTGGTCCTCAGACAACTTATATTTACACTGAGGACACATACAACACGTTGCTCCAACACATTGCCCTGCTGGCCTCCGTGGGCGGGCAGCGGAACGTTGTCCCACTCCCCCCTCCCTCCCTTCCTCCGTCCACTCCCTCCCTCTCACCTGCAGTGTCTCACAAGAATGGCTGTCGCACGGCCAGCGGCGGCCCTCGAGACCGTACATGTGTCGCACGCTGTACACGTACCGCCTCTGGCAGCGCGCCCAGGTGTGCGTGCAGACCGAGCCGTCGCCGGCCGGGCGCGAGTACTCCCGCTGCCAGAACCTGTACACATGAGCGGAGCTGAAGGCGGCGGTGTGACGATCAGGCGGCGGCCGACGGCAGCTCACATCTGACAGCTGTTCGGCGGAGATGACACTCCCGCAATCTAAAGACACCATCCAACGATTTCAGCTGAGTTGTTTTCTGATTCTCTTCCCCCCAAATCAGAATCAATGACAAAGTTGAACTAGAATATATTTGGTATCGGTACGTTCCGATGCACACGTTATGACAGCACGTGCACTTCGTCTAACATGGTTGTCAATGCTAAGTTTATTGTCAAAATTGAATCATTCTGACGATCTTCATGGCGTGTAACGATACTGGGCAGAGTTCATATCCAAGCCAAACAAACAGCCCGCTGAAGAAAACATTTCGGCATAAATTAGCGCTCGACCGTTGCCCTGAGACACACAAAGTGACAGCTGAGCACGGACTCAACGGGCGCTGCTGGACCGACCCGACCCGACCCAACCCAACCTGACCTGACCTGAACCGATCCGACCCAACCCACACGCCCAACCCAACCCACACACCCAACCCAACCCAACCCGACCCGACCTGACCCTCCGCCACCCTCCGCCGCCCACGAGTGCCGTCGGCACCCCAGCCAGACGAGCAACCGCTGCCGGCCGGCCACCCACCTGAGGTTCTCCTCCAGCGGCAGACCAGCGTCCTTGAGGAAGAGGCTGAGCGCGACGCGGTCGCGGTGCGGCAGCCTGTGCCGGCGGCGCAGCTCTGCGTGCAGCGCCAGCATGCAGGGCGGTAGCAGCGGCGCCGCGGCGTCCAGCCGGCGCAGCGTCAGCGCCGCCGCCGGCCGGGCGGAGGCGGGGTGGCGAGAGGAGGCGTGCCCGCAGCCGCGCCAGCAGCGGCAGCAGGCGACCGTCGACGGCCGACCGCGGCGTCGCCAGCCGCAGCGCCGCCTCCTGCAGGCAGCCGAGCGCCGCCGCCGTCTGGTGGCAGCGCACCAGCGCGTGGCCGGCCGAAAGCGAGACTGCCCGCGGCCGCCACCAGGGGCGCCACCAGCGCGAACGGCACTGCAACGCAGCAGGCCAGCTCGGTGAGGCGGCTGGGCGAGCCCCCTCTGCAGGCCCGGATCTCCAGCAGAGTTGAGCGACCCGAGACGTGCGCGCGTCTTGTGACGAGCACAAGTCAGTGACGCCCAGTCCACCAACAGACACGATACATTTTTGACATGGGTGTGCAAAACTGCAACGCCTACTCAAGACTGGCAAAAGTAATCCCGTAAACAGTGGTGTCCCAGCTTTATTCAACTTGTGCCTAACATGCTAGTTGATACACGATCTAACAGGACGCCGATGAACGCAGGTCAAAGCGTCGAGCTCAGACAAGGCACCTAATGTTTGCTTGAAACCACCGCTTAACCAGCACCAGGCATGCCAATGATCGATTGCTGTCAACCATAACAACCAATAACTCATAACTTATTTCTTGTCACGATAAAACTGGACAGGAAATCAAAACCCGAATTATCATCATGTTGCTCCCAACAGTGCTGAAACAGGTAAAGGAGATTGTGCATATTTGGGATCTTTGGTAGAACTCAACAAACATGGCTGAGGTACCGTCGTCCGGTGCTGACAAAATACGCAGCATGAAATGTATGTATGTGTAAAGATAGGAAATATGCACGCAAATGTATTTTCTAAAATGCGCGTCAGATCTATTTTCCTCAAACGTCCCCAGATATTGTCTGGCTCGCCTCTGTTCCTTTCAATTTCGGAAGGCTATTGCCCAAACTCATTTTTTTTATTTTCGATGTCTGCTTAGCTATCCACAAAAAGGAGATTTTATTGTTTTGGTTCACTTTAAACTCTTACCAATGCGATCTCCAAGTCATCAGAAAATGTGCACTTTCTATACATCAGGAAATCTGACCTACTGGGCAACGCACAACAAACCACACTAATAATGTAATATGCAACAATACACTCTTTTATGTTGATGTAAAAATTTGGCGTAGTCCAGCCCTTCAGAAAAATAGCGCCAAGTAATGGCAGCATTTCACGCGAACGTAGTGAATCACCGTTCAAGTTATCTCGCTTAGGCGTGGCTCGACGAGCTCATTAGGCCGCGGGGGATTTCTAAGATCGCTAATATTACGCTATTACCTGACGGATCTGTATCACTTTTAAACATTTCATGGAATGTCTAAAGAGCGTTGGGATTTTAAATAAAGCCTCACCGAACCGACCATATAAATTGTATACAATTGTTTGGCTGCGAATGCCCGATCCAAGCTAAATTATCATTCATTGTGCTTGCGCGTCATAGGAAAAACTAGCTTCAAGTCTATACATAAACCGTTGCTTGTTTGCTTTCGCATGCACGTGGTTTTCATCTAACTTTGGGCGGCGACTCCCGTTTTCATTTGTTTCCTCTTCATTGTCACCCGATTGCCAGCTTTCAACTCCGCAACCGTATTCACGCTGTCAGTATCTCGAGTTCCACTCCATTCGTGAGTCGGCGTGAAACTGCCCGTCGGGGCCCTCAGCCTCCCGCAGCCTAGCTGGAACACTTGCCTGTCGAGGCCCTCAGCCTCCCGCAGCTGGAACACCTGCCTGTCGGGGCCCTCAGCCTCCCGCAGCCTACCTGGAACACCTGCCTGTCGAGGCCCTCAGTCTTCCGCAGCCTAGCTGGAACACCTGCTGTCGGGGCCCTCAGCCTCCCGCAGCCTAGCTGGAACACCTGCCTGTCGAGGCCCTCAGTCTCCCGCAGCCTAGCTGGAACACCTGCCTGTCGGGGCCCTCAGCCTCCCGCAGCCTAGCTGGAACACCTGCCTGTCGAGGCCCTCAGCCTGCCGCAGCCTAGCTGGAACACCTGCATGTCGAGGCCCTCAGCCTCCCGCAGCCAGCTGGAACACCTGCCGGAGGCCTTTAGCCTCCCGCAGCCTAGCAGGAACACCTGCCTGTCGAGGCCCTCAGCCTCCCGCAGCCTAGCTGGAACAGCCTGTCGAGGCCCTTAGCCTCCCGCAGCCTAGCTGGAACACCTGCCTGTCGAGGCCCTCAGCCTCCCGCAGCCTAGCTGGAACACCTGCCTGTCGAGGCCCTCAGCCTCCCGCAGCCTAGCTGGAACACCTGCCTGTCGAGGCCCTTAGCCTCCCGCAGCCTAGCTGGAACACCTGCCTGTCGAGGCCCTCAGCCTCCCGCAGCCTAGCTGGAACACCTGCCTGTCGAGGCCCTTAGCCTCCCGCAGCTTAGCTGGAACACCTGCCTGTCGAGGCCCTCGGCCTACCGCGGACTAGCTGGAGCAGCTGCCTGTCGAGGCCCTTAGCCCCCGCAGGCCAGCTGGAGCAGCTGCCTGTCGAGGTCCTTAGCCTCCCGCAGCCTAGCTGGAACACCTGCCTGTCGAGGCCCTTAGCCTCCCGCAGCCTAGCTGGAACACCTGCGTGTCGAGGCCCTTAGCCTCCCGCAGCCTAGCTGGAACACCTGCCTGTCGAGGCCCTTAGCCTCCCGCAGCCTAGCTGGAACACCTGCCTGTCGAGGCCCTCAGCCTCCCGCGG